GATCTTTAAGGAATAAAGAACACTGGAAATAGTAAATATATGACTAAATAGAAAAGAGTGTCTTTTTCCTTAATTACTGTTTAAAGCAAATGTTAAAGCATTTATTATTGGGTTCATATGTGTGTAAACATATGTAACAATAACATAAAGAATAGGCTGCATAATTCCACATGAAATGGTAAAATATTAACTCAAGTTTAATCCCCAGAGCAACCACTAAAAAAGTCATGAAAAAAATTAGCCAAAAATCAAAAGAGAAATTTAACTACAGTATAAAAATATTTGATAAAACCAAAAATGACAGAGGGACAACTAGAAATCAAAGAGCAAATGGCAGATATAAACCTACATTAATAAATACATTAGATCTAAATAAACCAAAAATTCCAATTAAAAGGCAGAGTTTCAGACTGAATTAAAAAAAAGTGAGATCCAACTGTATGCCACCAACTTTACAAATAAAAAGATATACCAAGCAAACAAAAAGCAGTAAGAGAGCCGATGTGGCTATATTAAGATCAGAGAAAGACTTACAGACAAGAATTATCAGAGAAAAAGAAGGACATTACTTAACATTAAAAGAGTCAATACCCTAAAAAAAAATAACAATCCAAAATATGTATGCGCCCAATAAAAGAACTTCAAAACACATGAAGTAAAAGCTGACAGAATTATGGCAACACAAACAAATACAAATGTTGTTGTAAATTTTAATACTTCCTTCTCAGTAAATTTTAGAACTACACAAAAAAATTAGTAAGGCTATATAAGATTTCAACAATGCTCTCACCTTTCTTGACCTAACTGATAATTTATGGAACATTATATCTGACAACTGTTGAAAAACATTCATTTCCAGTGCACATGGGACATTCACTGAGGCCATATGCTAGGCCATAAAACAAGTCTCAATAAATTACAAATGACTGAAATGTTACAATGTATATTCTCTGATCACGAAAGAAGTAAATTAGAAGCAATGACAACAGGACATCTAGATATGTCTCAAATATTTGAAAATTAAACATTTCTATATCTTCATTGATGTGGTCATCACATCTATACATACATTTATCAAAATTCATCTAATTGTAAACTTAAGATTATGTGCATTTCACTGTACATAAATGTTTACCTTAATAAAAAAATTAATAGAAAAAAAGTTCAGTGTAGATTTAGCTGAATTCAAAGAAACTCAAGAGTATCTTTATCTAAGTTGCAATCAAAAGACTGAATGAAAGACAAACCCCATGTAACCTAACTTCTCTAAGCTTGTTCAGTCAAGCTTAGAACAATTCTTAAGACTGAGTCAAACTCAATAAATTAATTTTATTCTTATGGCAAAGCACGGCAGCTCTAAGTATCTGCTAAAAAATAAGGCATATTATTCTTTCATTTAATGAATATTTAAAGAGTTTTAGTCTAGTGGCAGGCAGATTTGACCAAAAAAAATTTCTATATTAAAACTAAGACGGGGTGCTAGTGCAATAATTAGGAAAGGTACTTAATCTAAATTTGATGGTTTGAACTGAGTTTTTAGTTACAAATAGCAACAGACAGGGAAGCAAGTGTTTTAGGAAGAGGGACAATACCATACAATGGCAACACAAAAACATGGTAAACTTGGGGCACTTTAAACAGCATCATATGGGTATATAGTGCTCAAAGATCAGAGTAGTGACATATGCAGAGGCCAGATCAAAAATTCTGAACAGCAGTGAACTGCATACTAAGGAGTTTACTTATAATTCAGGATAAAATTCACAGAAGTAACTTGATCAGATTTGCATTTTAAAACAATCACTCCGGTAGCGGGATGGAGAATAAACCAAAGTGGGTAAGATTTGAGGCAGATATCAGTTAATGAGCTATGGTAGCAGGCAAGGCAATAGACAATGAGGGCCTTAATATAACTGTGAGAAAAGTAGAATAAAAATTCTAGGTATCTAAATGATTGAGTCTAGGGTGTAAAAACAAATGAACCAAAAGACCTTCTGGGTTTCACTAGGTTTGTTCTACTTTATGAAGATACATTTGGCACTTGGGATACATAATATTTAATTTCTTATGTACCAATTTGGCTTCTACAAAGACTGACAGCCATTTGAGTGTTGAGAGTACAAAGTACCTTCTGTATCTAGGAGGGGTTAGGGAATCAATGCTTGTTCAAACAATTATCAAACTGAAGAGGTTTGACATACTTGCTGAACCATCTCTATGGTTTTATGTCTTTTTTATAAAGTACAGTTTGCATGAGAATTCCCCTGAGACTCTTGTTTAAAAATGTTAATTTTAGAACACGACTTAATTGAATCAATATCCAGTAGTGCCCAGAAACCTGTATTTTATATAAGCTTTCAGGTACCTATCATGCACATTAAAGTTTAGAGCCATTAAACAATTCTCAAATCCCAGATTTTCCTAGGGACAATTTGCCATTCTAAAATCTCTGTCCTTTCTTGCCTTTGATTGGATATCAGGTACTCTACTCGCTACCAAAGACAGTTGGGTAGAGAAAAAATACATTTCTAGCCTATGGGTAAAATACATTACCCATAAATAAACTTTATGGTTTCAATAAAGGCTGTTTAACACTGGGTGATTTGTAGTGCAACTATAAGAAAGAAGACAAACATTCTTTCACTTCTAGTCATTTAAATGTTTTTTTTTAAAGTGATACCCTATTTCATTAGTTCTTAAGCTCCTTTATAAAAATTCAAGGAATTGCCAACTCATAAAAAATAATGTGATTTATTTCCTAGCTAATGCTTAAAATCAGCCAGTAATTTCCCCACATAACAGAAATATATTTCTATATGATTAATCACTGACAGTTAAAAGGGGAAAACTTTAAACTATTATTTAAATGTGCTTATTAAGATTTTAATTCTTTTTTTTTCTTTGGTTTTATTCTCTCATTTGTGGGGGGGTGCTTACTGGATTTTTTTCTTCCTTAACTAAATTATATGGGCTGACAAAGTGTGGGTCTCTAAATACTGAAATAAAATTCTAATAATCTATGGTACTCTGTGGTATACTCTATAAATGAAAAGTATTGGTATTTGTGAGTTAAGAAGGAAGCTACCAAAAAAGAAAAAAAAGGGAGGCTCTATTCCAAAATTTGAAAATAGTAATTTTGGTCATATTTAAAAGATAATCAAATAACCCCCCAAAATTAGGAATTTCAGCAAAATCCTATGTTCAGACACAACATTTAAATAAGGAGAAATAATAAAGTAGCAAATGGGTTTTGAATTCAGGATTAGATTGTTTTATAAAAGAAGTCTCTCTTCATTATCACTGGTTAGCTATATCTCTCCATATATGTCAGGCTTTTGGAAAAAATTATGTGCCTTGTAATGCAAATGTTTTAAAATGGAATTGTGGGGATGGTTGCAAAATGCTGTAAATTCACTAAAAATAACTGTATGCTTAAAACAGGTAAATTTTGTAGTATGTAAATTACCACTGAATAAAGTTATTAAAAATTATGTTTATAAAATAGTAAAAGAATGACATATCTCATTTTCTCAACATCCTAGGAGTTATCTAAACTTGGAAGAAATTAAATGTCATGAAGACACTATGTATCACTGCTCACTGTATGCTGACGATCTTAGAGCTTCCACACCTATGAGACTATTTAGGGTCAGGACTAGGGGGCCACAGCAGGCCTTTCTTTAGACATTAACTCAGATCAAAATATGTCCCATAGAAGGCTAAAGTTTGCAATATAAGAAACTAGCTCACATCCTTTTCAAAGTGTCTATAACACAGAAAGCTAGATGAAGCTACACAATGCTGTGTCTTAGAACAGTGACATATGATAATATTGTGGTAACTTCTATTACTCAAACTCTTAAACTGTCTGTGGCTCCTGTGGGTTCAGTTACTTATCACTTACTAAATTCCATACATACTGGTAGGTTCTGGGAATATATAATTTTGATGGGAGATAATTTCAATATAATATAGCAAGTTCTATAACAGTGGTTTCACAGGGGTGAAGAGTCTGTAAAAACACAGAAAGGAATAATTTATCACTAAATGAAACAGCCTGGAGTTATGGTAGAAAATTTCATAGAAAATGTTTCTGAAGAACTGACACTTAAACTGAAACTTAGAAGGATGAGTTGGTATCAGTCAGGAAAGAAGAGTATGAGTATTCTAAGCAAAGAGAGAAACAGCATAAACAAAGATAGGGAGCCATCAAACAGTATGCCATGGAGAGGGAATCAGTGACAATTCAGTATTATTACTTACATATGTTTCAAGGAAAGGAGAGAGAGAAAATAAAGTGCCCAAAATGAAAACAACATAGAGAATTTTTCATAAAGCTCTACTTATGCAGTTTAAAAGATTTTACTTTAACTCTCTATTGATCACCTAGAATTTAAAAAAATAATTCAATTGCTCTGTAAATCCTATAAATCTGAGACTACTCCTCTACATAACATTTAGCCCTGAAGAACTAAGTAGGTGAGTTTTTGGCTACCACATCTTTCAGAAAAATTTGATAATGTGAGGTGTCACATATTTTCCGCTCTCCAAAACTCTCCTGTTATAAATACTGTTAAAACACCAGCAGTTTATTAAGGATAAAGTAAACAGAATGTGTTTTCATGACAAGCAAAACACCATTCCTGTGACAGCAAATACTTGGTGTCTTTTATCTTAATCTTACCATCAAGCCCTAACATAAGAAATTTTACTGTGAAACGATGCAGTAGGGTAGTAGTAGGAGTATGGTGAGTTAATAACTTGCAATCTTACAATCATAATAAAATACTTGTCCTGTGCATAATCTGAAGATTGTCAAGTCTTTTCCTTTTTTCCAAAACCTATATTTTTTCATTACTTTTCAATATGTTGCTAGTTCATAAGTCCTGATGTTGCTAACTGAAATAAAATCGTACACTAGAGAATAGAATACTCACATAATTATTTCATAATATGTTTTTCAACTTGATAACCTCAACTTATACTAAAAGAACACTTACCTGCTTTACATTGTATCCCGCTTTTGCACTAGTTTCAATAAACATAACATTCAGCTCTTTGGCTTTCCTCTCCCCCTCCTCAATTGACACTTGCCTGCAGGAAAATAAAAAATTCTTCTTTTTGAAAGATGATATTATAAAGATTTTAAACAAAGTTCTGAAAATAACTTTTCTTGATATGAGTGCTGGTTACCCAGACTAGTCTGAAAACTCAAGTTGCAGTTTCAGGTGTACAATTTAACAGTAAGGCATAGATACATGTATTGCATTTTGTGTTCCCTTTCTATAGTTAGATTTCTTTCTGTCACCACATATTTGATCCGTTTTACCCCATCAACCTCCTCCCTCCCCTCTGGCAACCACCAGTCTATTGTCTACGTCCATGAGTCTGTTTGTCGCTTTTAGGTTTATATCACACATATAAGTGATATTATGTGGTGTTGCACTTTTTCTGTCTGGCTGATTTCACTTAGCATGATTATCTTGAGGTCCATCCATGTTATTGCAAATGGCAGTATTTCATCTCTTCTTACGGCTAATATTCCATTGTATATATGTACCACAGCTTCTTAATCCAGTCGTCTATCATAGGACAATTCAACTGCTTCCATGTCCTGGCCACCATGAATAAAGCTGCTATGAACATAGGTGTGCAAATATCACACTTAAACAATTTTTAGGGCATTTATTTTTAATGATTTGCTTTTACTTTGCTGAGCTCATCTTGTAACAGTTCTATTTTTAAAAACTTAACAGCCTGTTACTTTCTCTTAATATTAGACTATAAGTACCCTTGTGATGAAAAACTGTTTAGAATAATTTTTAATGGCTAGATAACCTGTCAATTTGCTATTATGTTTTATACAACCATTCCCAAACTGTTAGAAATATAAGTTGTTTTCAAATTCCACACTACTGTGAAAAATGTTGCTATAAACATCTTTGTGCTTAATATTTTGTACACTGTGGCTTATTTCCTTAGGTTGGATTTTGTGAATTTCTCTAAGTGGAAAAGTGAGTCGAAAGACATGTATGTTAGTCTCTTGATACACAGTATTAATATTTTAATACTTCTTTTAGAGGGCATTTTGTGATGTATTATAATTAGCAGTATGCCTCAAATTGTGAGCTCTTCAAGTACAAGATTATCTCATTCATCTTGGTGGCCTAAATGCTTAGCTGGCACATACGTGTTTAATAAATATGCAAATATTCTAATTAAATGAATCTAAACTATCAGCCAACAAACTGTGCTTCTTACAACACAGAAAATTAAAGCAATGCAAAAGACGGGACAAGTTTCCACCATATCTATCCATTGGTCTTACCTGTGTGTGTGCCTTTATAGTCTACCTCTAGTCCTATTGCTAGGAACTGTCCTTACTCCCCAAACTTATACCTACGAGCTACATACTACTGGATTCACACTCTCTACTTGTCTACAAGATATTATCCTAGAGTCACCTCTATAAAAACAAGGACATTCTCTTACATAACAATCTGACTGTTAATGTTTTACTCCATTAGTTTTATCTTCTCAGTCTCTATGAATTTGTGTATATTAAAAAACACATTTTTTCTTAACAATTTGGAAGTTGACAATCTGCAAACCATTAGCTCTAAATATTTTAGCAGTGTAAATTTCCTAAAAATAATTGTCAGATGCCCTAAAACCTATTCCTTGGACCTCTTCCCTATTTCAGTTACTCTGTTGGTGATCCACGTAGTCTTGTGGTTTAAATATCATCTATATGCTGATGACTCCCAAACTTATATATTGAGGTTGGAGCTCTGCTCTGAACTCCAGACACATATATCCAACTGCCTACCTGACATCTAATTAGATATTAGGATATCTAATGCCATTCTAAACTTATATTTCCCACCCATTCCATCAGTATATCTTGTCTATCTTCAAAATATATCTCAATTTGACCAGTGATCACCACACAAGCTTTGCCTTGTATGACCTGGCCTCCATCATTTTTTCTTTTTTTTTACCTCATTGCCTAGTACTCTTTCCATCATTCTCTGTACCAACTATATTGGCCTCCTTGCTGCTCCTAAAATAAGCTCTGTATTTCATCTGGTATAAGTATTGCTGTCTACCTTTTTTAGATTTCCATTCTCTGTACCAACTATATTGGCCTCCTTGCTGCTCCTAAAATAAAGTAAGCTCCTAAATTGTAAAATTCCCAATTTAGGGATTTTACATTTTCTGAGCTATATGCCTAGAACCTTTTCTTTCTCAAAATATCTTCATAGTTAACTCCCTTACTCCTGTAGTGTTTAAAAGTCACTAGTCATCATCTCAGTGAGGTCTTCCACTGCTATGCTAATTTTTCGAATTCACCCTTGACATTTCATATTCCCTTTCTCTGCTTTATTTTTTAATATTGACAGATATTATCAAACATGCTATGTATTTTTTGGACTTAGTGTCTGGTGCGCCCTCTGGAATAAAAGCTCCTTGAAGGTTTGCCTTTTTTGTTCACTATTCTAGTTTAGAGTAGCATCCTCTGAAACCTAAGTGATATTCAATAAATACTTTTTGAATTATTAGTCTGTAAACCCTACATGTGAAGGATTCCAGACAGAAACCGTTTTTAATTTTAGAACTATAAGTTACTCCAACAAAATGGTTAAAAGTTAGCTATAGCAATGGTTCTAAACGTGGTCTGATTTTGTCAGAATCACCAAGATTCTCTAAAATATATATTCAAGGGCCCTACTCGACACTAATTGAATCATAGTATTTAGAAGTAGGATCTAAACTACCCAAATTTAAAAAGCTGACCATGATCCTTACAGCCAGCATCTTAAAAGAGGATCTAGTAAGTCATATATACTGAGAGATTCTCAAGTTTGAAACAGATGGGCTACAGGGGACAAAGAGTACTGAACAGCTAGATGCTTACATTGAGACACTGAAACTGGGTCTTTTCTCTAAGTTTTACCCCAAAAAAATATTTATCAAAGAAAGTGATAAAGACATTTAACTTTTTGAAAATTTTTATTAAAAATTTTCAGATTACAAAAGTCATTAATTTTTAAGAAGACCAATTATCACAATGAATTCCTCCATAATCTCACTCTCTTCCCAAAGATGACTACAGTTAAGTTCCACGTATGCTTATATAGGTTTGTTCTAAGCAAAAAAAAAATCTCTCTACTATCTTTTTGTTAATAGAAAGGATATCATGGTATGTGTACCGATCAAGTGCTTTTTCAAGCTTCATGTGTTAAACCAGGGGTCCCCAACCCCTGGGCCATGGACCGGTAATGTTAGGAACCGGGCTGCACAGCAGGAGATGAGCAGCTGGTGAGCAAGCAAAGTATCATCTGTGTTTGCAGCCACTCCACAGCACTAGCATCACCGCCTCAGCTCCACCTCAGATCCACCTCAGATCATCAGAAATTAGATTTTCATAGGAGCACCGGTCTCCGGTGCCAAAAAAGCTGGGGATCACTGTGTTAGCCAGCAATAAATTCTTACCATTCTTTTTAGTGGCTACAAGTATTCATTTACAAAACACTACTGTTACTGATAGACATTTAGATTGCTTTTAAATTTTTTAGTATTACAAATAACATTGCAATAAACATCCTTTTATTTTCATCTTTCACAGGTCTGAGGGTATATCTGTGGAATAAATTATTACAAGTGGATGTGAGTCAACAAATATTTTAAATTCCGATATTATTAAACTGCTCCCCCCCTAAATTATATTAGTGACATATTTGTTTACGAGAGTTCTTGTTTATTCAGACTCTTGATGATACCATGCATTATCAATGTCCATCCCTGTTGTTGTAGACGGCAAGATTTCATTCTTTCTTAAGGCTGAGTAATATTCTATTGTATATATGTACCACTTCCTTGTTATCCATTCATCCATTGATAAAAGCCAGGCTGTCTCCATATCTTGGCTATTGTAAGTAATGCTACAATGAACATATGGATTCACATGTCCCTTCTAAGTAGTGTTTTGGGTTTCTTCAGATAAATACCCAGAAGAAGGATTACTGGATCCTTGTCTCTTGTTTTAAAGTCTATTTCATCTGGTATAAGTATTGCTGTCTACCTTTTTTAGATTTCCATTTTCATAAAAAGTCTTTTTCTATCCCTTTACTTTCAGTCTGTGTATGTCTCTCGATTTGAATGAGTCACTTCTAGACTGCGTATATAAGGGTCTTGTTTTCTTATCCATTCAGCCACCATATGTCTTTTGATTGAAGCATTTAATCCATTTACATTTAAAGTAATTGTTGCTAGATATGTAGTTATTGCCATTTTGTTATTCATTTTTTTTATCTTTTTCTTCTTAACGAAGTCCCTTTAACATTTCTTATACTAGTTTGACATCCTGTAGCTTTTGCTTGTCTGGGAAGCTCTTTATCTGTCCTTCGATTCTAAATGATAGCTTTGCTGGGTAGAGTAATTTTGGTTGTAGGTCCTTGCTTTTCATCACTTTAAGTATTTCATGCCAATCCCTTCTGGGCTACAAAGATTGTTGAGAAATCAACTGCAGTCTTATGGGAGCGCCCTTGTAGGTAACTAAATGCTTTTCTCTTGCTGCTTTTAAGATTCTCTCTTTGCCTTTAAACTTTGGCATTTTAATTGTGATGTGTCTTGGTGTGAGCCTCTTTGGGTTCAATGTGTTTGGGACCCTCTATGCTTTCCGTGACTGTATGTCTATTTCCTTTGCCAGGTTAGGTAAGTTTCCCATCATTATTTCTTCAAATAGGTTTTCAATTCCTTGCTCTCTCTCTTCTCCTTCTGATATCCCTATGATGAGGATGTTGGTATGCTTAATGGTGTCCCGGAGGCCTCTTAAACTATACTTTTTTTTAAAATTATTTTTTCCTTTTGCCGTTCTGATTGGGTGTTCTCTGCTACCTCCTCTTTGAAATCGCTGATTCGATACTCCGCTTCATCTAATCTACTCTTGATTCCCTCTAACGTATTCCTCATTTTAGTTATTGTAGTCTTCATTTCTGACTGGTTCTTTTTCATGTTTTCTATCTCACTGCTGAAGTTCTCATCGAGATCACTGAGCATCCTCATAACCAGTGTTTGAACTCTGCATCTGGTAGACTGCTTGTCTGCATTTTGTTTAGTTTTTTTTCTGGAGCTTTGTTTTGTTCTTTCATTTGTGACATGTTACCTTGTCTCCACATTTTGGCTGCCTCTCTGTGTTTGTTTCTATGTATTAGGTAGAGCTGCTATGTCTCCTGCTTTTGAGTGGCCTTATGTATTAAGTAGTAGGTGTCCTGTGGGACCCAGTGGCACAGTCTTCCCTGGTCACCTGAACCAGGTGCTGCAGGGTATGTCCCTTGTGCAGATTGTGTACCCCTTCCTACAGTAGTTGAGCCTTTGTTGCTGTCAGCATGTCAAGAGGAGGGACTGACTATCAGGCTGATTTGGTTGTGAGGACTGGCCATGACTACAGTAGAGGAGCTGTTGTGCAGAGTGTAACCCTATAGAGCAGGATTTGCTGTAGCAGGACTCTGGTGCCTGCCCAGTCTGCCCTTGGGGTGTGTCATCCTTAGATGTAGCTCTGGGTGGTGTTCTGGCTTGATCTGAAGCCAGCCACCACAGTGCTGGCCCTGGGGCCTCCTGGAAAGGGCTCTGCCACAGGCCAAGTTCAGCCATAGCCTGTGCACTGACTGGGGCCACCTAGCATGAGCCACCAAGCAATCCACAAATGGCCACCAAACGTCCTGTGCTTGGAGGTGCCTTAAGAGGCCAAGCCACAAACTGAGGCTGGCCGCTACTAGTGTCAGGCTTGGGACTTTCTCAGCAAAAGGTATGGGACATGCCAAGGCCAGATGCTGCTTGTTTGGGTTTGGTGAATCCTTGAGAGATTTTAGGAAAGTCTGCAGCATTAGCCAAGACAGGCCATTCGCAAGGAAAAGCGGTTTGGGTGGGCCTGCAAGTTGGGTGGGTTGTAGTTCAGGGAATCACCAGGCGATGCAACCAGTGTTAGCCAGGCTGATAAAGACTCAGATATGGCAGCAGCCTGCATCTGCATGCCAGGAAGAGGGGAAGGCTTAACAAAGAAACAATGGATTCCGCCAACAGTTCTGTCTGGGAGAAAGCTGCCCTTCCAGCCTTTGACCTGAAGGCAGACAATTTCAATTCCTCCCCATATATCCCTGGCACCTTTGAAGTTGCTGCCCTAGCACTAGAGCTCAGAGCGAGTGAGTCTATCAGTGAGTAAGTCTGTCAGTAAGTCTGTGCATGGGACATTTAAAAGAAGTACCTGGGACTCCAGTAGCCCTCTGTCTTACTCAGCCACAATCTCCACTAGTTTTCACAGCTAGAAGTTGTGGAGACTTCTCTTCTTGACACTAAAACCCTGGGCTGGGGTGCCTGGTGTGGCGCCGAGAACCCTCATTCCTCTGGGGGAATCTCCACAACTGAAATATCCCTCTAGATTTTTAATTGCCACACACGAGTGTGGAACCAGCCTGCTCTGCATTTCCACCTCCCTACCAGTCTGGAGGTGGCTTCTTCTGAAGGTTCTTAGTTTTAGGACTTGTGTTCAGTAGATTACAGGCCATTATCGATAATGGTTGTTTTGTAATTTAGTTGTAGTTTTGATGTGGTCATGACAAGAGACAAGCACAGTGTTTACCTACTCTGCAATCTTGACCGGAAAATTGAAACATTTCACTTAACAATGCAAGTTTATTACACAAATTTCAATATCCAACTATGAATAAATAATAAATAGTAAAACTTTCTACTATTAAGTAAAATGTCCAGTAGATAACTTAGGAATGCTGAAGGCAGATATTCAAGCCATGAGTTCTACAGTGAATGTTAATATATTTTGCATCCTGTGACTTGAATGTGGCTTTCCTCATTTGACTAAGGTATCATCAAGCTATTCTGTTCAACTACACAGTCTGGCTCAACCATATAATTTAAAAAAGAAAAGAAAAACTACACCACTGAATTATAATGAATATATATAAGAATACTACCAAAAGAGTGCATATTTAATCATTATGAATAATTTTTAAAGACAGATGTTTTTAAAATATTTTTTTTAACAGAACACTGCTCATATTTATGAGGCCTAAAAAATGTAAAAAAGTTAGCTTCATGTATAAACAATGTCTCCTCCCTTGTGCAAACAATCTTGCATAAGAGTTATTTAAATATGGGTTTACATAGAACAAAAAAACTCATGTTCCTTAAGGACTGAGTTTAATGTTTTATATTTCAGGCTCCCACATTAAAGAATGATATAAATTTAAGGATTAAACATGTCTTCTTTCAAAACAATTCTTCAGTAACATTAAAAATAACAAGCTGCTTAACAAAGAAATTAAACATTACATACACATACAAAATCACTCCATACCTCTTATCAGCAAGATCTGTTTTATTTCCTACTAGCATGATGATAACATCACTTCCTCTTTCTGTTCTGACATCATCAATCCACTTTGTAGTTTGCTGGAATGAGTTAACATCTGGTATAGGAGGGTGTACAGAGAGATTAGTGTTATTGCAAATGCCTCCTCATGTGATGAACCAAAGAAAGAAAAGAAGAGGAAAAAAGCCCTGGAAGTTGGAAGGGGGCTGGCACATTAGGACCCACTTTTAATGTGCCTGCAACATAACTCCATTTTATCTGAGTACAACTGTCAGTAGTCTAAACAAATCGTAAGACTAAAATCCTCAAGGTTCCTTTTATAGTAGTTAAAATTTTTTATATCATTTAAAAATTTTGGACATGACCAAAGGAGTGTAATGTACTCTATGAAACTGAGGAAAAAAAAATATTTTTAATGTAAGGACAGCTATGGCAGATAATATGGTGTCACATTGCTACAATGCTTTTTTGATTACTTACACATATCAAACACAACAAAGAAAGCATTTCCAAAAGTATGTCAGCCAATAAGTCCCAACACATCCAGAAAATCTGTAAAGCCTTTAAATAGCTTTTAACACCACTCTGTTTGCATTGCTTATTCAGTTTGTGATCACTTTAACTTAAATTTATTAGTTTAATGCACCAGAATCACTTGTAAAAAAAAAAAAAATCGATCTTCTATAGTGCCAGAGTCTAAGTAGACTACTTCAATATTTTTTACAGCAGCTAAAGAAAACAGTTTACTAATATTTTAACCATACACACAATTTAAAAAAAAAAAAAAAATACACCAGGTTTCACTTGATTTGGTTAAAGTAAGCACAAACATTTTAAAGCTGCAAAACATGTCAATGCACAATAATGAACATTTTTTTAAACAAGTAGCAACCCAAAGTAAAAGCTTCAAGAAAAGATTGCCTATAGCACCTGACCAAAAAAAGTCTTTGAATGTAAACTTGTAACTTACAATTCTGCCACTGCAATTATTAAATAGATATGATTTCTGATTGAGCAGATATGCAAAAATGTATAGTAACAGGACTACTCACTCAAATCAATATTTTGTGGATATGTTTTAAAGAAGTCTAAGATGTGGTACTTTCCTGGTTGTTCTATGAATGGGGGACCACTATATAGAATGATGCTTAATACTGCCTAATAACCCAATTTATAAAGACAATTTTAATCAGAGAGCATTTCCCTGTAGGTCACTAATGCTCCATGGAAAATTTAAAGTCATTTAAAATGCCAAAGGCATTATTCATTCTTTAGGGAAAAAGAAAAATGAAGACCATTACTTTAGTCTCCCACTTAACTTTTTTTCTCAGAGAGAAATGAAAATGTAATTTGTTAGCAACGAAGCGAGTCACAGAATCCAGATATGATTTGGATGAAAATGATTAATAGAAGACTGCACGTTATGTTTTCTCTGAACTCCTCTATAGAGAGGATGGCTGAAAGGGGAAAGCAGAGAAAAGCTGGCTAGTGGAAGTTTTTAATAGCTTCAACAGAAGCTTTGGAGGATTTGGAAAACTTGGTAAAAGGCTTAAATGCAGATTATTTTATTTTAGAGAAACTTCAGGTCAAGTTAAATTTAAAAAATGTTCTTCCAACCATAATTAAGGTGTGGCTTAGGGATAATAGGATACTCAGAAAACCTTGGATTCATAATCGGACCCAAAGGAAAATTTCCAGGGCAAAAAGACCTGGCACAGTAGGAATAAAGCATAGCTTGTACAAACACCAGAGCAAATATTTCTGACCTAGCCAGTCTATGATAGGTTTGCTAAAACTCATTTTTACATGCCAGTATGGAAAACAAGCACAAGACAAGAACATGCATGCAGCTAAGCTAAGGGTTGAAAGAACGTTAGAAATGCATAATTCCCCCCACTCACTTGTGATATCATAAACAACAACTGCCACAGTGGAGTCACGAATGTAGCTAGGAATC